AAATTCATTATTTTTTCTTATACAATTCTTTAATATTTCACAGATCTTTTATTTGATCATCTTCTTTCTTCAACTCACATTTTAAATGGCGAAAATTTAATACTACATTCATATGGTCAATATAATGTGGTCGCTTTACGTCCGTCTTGTTGGAATCAATCTATTTACATATTTAGTTTTGTTTTGCTACTGATGTAACTTGTTTTATATTATGAGTCTTTAATAGAAGAAACTATTATATAATACCTACAAGATTGTGTATCGTTTCCATATTCAATTAATTACGTTGTATATGTCTGCCGCACGTGCGCTGTGTAGATACCTGATGATCAGTATTATTCCATTTATAGGGATCTCTTGTATTTATTGGTTGCCTACAGATGTTATCGCTTTACTATTGGTTGTGCAGTGCATCGTTTTATTCTTGATTCGAATGCAATTTGAATACAACATTATCTGACATTTATACTGCCTCATTAATCAAGTCATCGATTAGTTGATCCCTACTTACTAAACGTTATTATCAAAGCCTTGGTCAAGGAATAATTGCTAACCATATTTGAAAAGTGACTAGCTTCTGCTGTCGATGCAAGCTGTAATCAATTCGTAAGAAGTCATTATGGAAATTGATTTGTCATAATTTATCAAAAAAACTTGAAAGTAGAAATATCATACTTTCAATAACTCCAATTTTACATCACTCGCCAAATATAATCAGTCTATCAAGAATGCCACAATCAGGAAGTGTTAATCGTCAATTTATGTAAATTATCTGATATTTAAATTAACCAATCTGGGGGATTACGCTATAAGTTGTAATCAAATGACATCTTCGGTCGTCGACCGAGTTATTTGGCGATATTATTGAAAACCTCATTCATCTTGGTTTTGATACAGTATATTATGTTCAAAGCTAAATCAATTGATTCGAGTACGGTAGAGTGGTCCAACTGGAAAATCAATTGTGTACGCTTCTTCTTTATTATATATTTTTTATGTAATGTTTGGGTAACAAATAAGCCGACTACGCACTTCATGGGAAAGCAATATCGGAGCTCTATAGTTTTATACGCTTGTATATACTTCATTTTCATATTTCAAATCTAACTGTTTTAGAAATATCATTTACTAGGTTCTGCTAGCGGCTCCGCCTGCAGTCCCGTTTGATAAAAAGTAGCCTGTGTTATTCCGGACCACCACCATACTACCCCTGGGTGCTTACTCTTGAAACCAATCTCAATGTCAATGCAATTTCAATCCAATAATGAAGTTGGTGAAATCTCAATAATCATTTAATGTCACAACTATTCAACCCCTATTGTAGCTCTTAAAATAGCATTCAGAGTACGGAATATAAGGCAATACTCAATACCATTTAGTTCATTCAATATCCAGCAATAAGGATGCAATGGGCGCTAGTGTTGCAACTCAAGAGTATTTTTTTTCTTTTTGTGATAGATATGCACCCATAGAATCATTTGTTATTTTTCTATATGTTTTGTTTACCTTTTTTGCATGTGGTATTAACCTATAATTAATTGTTGGACTTGTAAATGTTTCTTTAACTATTTAATCAGTAATGTATATAGTGTAAACATTTATTGGTTAACCAAAATAAATAAATAAAAAAGATTACGAATTTTCACAATACCAATGTCGATCGATCGGAATTAGATTCAAGAGTAACCCCCCTGTATCCTTCATCTCGATTCCTTCAGCTGTTTTGACGTGAAGGAGTAACAAACAAACTGACACATAAACTTTCGCATTTATAATTAGTTTTTTTTTCTATTTTAGTAGGATTGAGAACAAAAGGTATTTATAGCATAGTGTTCCCAGGTGGCGAGTTGTCGCTCAACGTGGAGGACTAAGGGGGAGGCCTTTGTCCAGCAGTGGACGTCTTTCGGCTGTTGATGATGATGATTATGATGATGATAGTGTTTCCATCCCATAATGATTATGAACCTATTTTAAAACCTGTGGAACTCTGTAACCTTGCATCACCTCAAAACCCTCTCGGTATCGAGAGGGTAGGTATCTACAAAAGAACCTTTCCCAACGAATTCTTGCCACAGACTTCTTCAATCTTCATCTATATCCTTATCATCGTCAACTCACGCAACATAATCACCGTATTTCTTTTGTTTACCATATAATTATTGCAAATACGAATACAAACATTCGCCATTACTTAAATTGCATTTAAATAGCTCGAGATTGCGAATGCTATTAAAATGTTCTAAAGCAGCTCAAAATTTTACGAAACCTGTCGAAACTTGTAACATGTCGCATGCATTATGCACAGTTGCCAAATATCATGATATTATACAAATGTACACAGATTTAATGATATTGCCATGAGAAACAGATAAATACATCATATTTTGTTGTTTACACGCAATTGTTATTGCTCATCACCATAAGTTCTTTTCCGTAGAGTATAGTGCTAGACAGCCTCGTTGGCCGAGGGGTCGCAAGTGCGACTGCCAGGCAAGAGGTTTCGGGTTCGATTCCTGGGTCGAGTAAAATATTACTGGGTTTTTAAAAATCTCAGTAGTTACGCGGTGTCTGGAAATGTGCCCGGTATATGGCAATAGGCTCACCCCCTATTACATGGGACTCATAACATAAATAGTGAAACGTGGGTGTTGCATTGTACAGTGGCATTAAGTGCCGTAATACGCGTCTCTGCCTACTTCTTCGGGGATAAAGTGGCGTGATGTTATGTTAAACAGATAAATACATCATATTTCGTTGTTTATGCGAAATTGTTATTGCTCGACGTCATAAGTTCTTGTCCGAATAGTGCTAGTAGTATTTATTTTATAGGATTTTTTACATCTAACTATAGAAAATATCTATTATGTTAACTTTTTTAAGAAATTAGGTGTTGATAAATCTGCAGTTTTAAACATTCATCTTAACGGATGATTAATTAGATTTTGTTATCTATTCTCAAAATATCTTAAACTGAGGAAAACCTCTTTGGTAAAATATGCATAACA